TCTGACAAAATCATAGGTAAGTGCTGCTGCTTCCTGGGTGTTGATGTCATGTTCTCCATACTCTTGGCTAACTTCCAAGGCAGTTTCCAGAAATACCTTGATCCAGCTTGTTGCAAGAAAGCTTAGTGTACTTCTGAAAAATCAAGCCACCTGTACTTCAGCTGATAAAAAGAGTTTATTTGTGTAGGCAGGGAGCCCTCTGAGAGCCATTTTTGATGGATAGTGCTGTATGTGACTGCAGAAGCGGATTTCTCATGCTTTGGGCTAAATCTGCATCCAACTCTGCTACAGGTTAGGATGTTTGATACATTATTTACTGGGTATTGAACACTTTTTGTCTTTTCTGAATCCTAATCTTAAGTTTACCTATAGGTGAACACATTGCAGACTTCTCTTGAAAAAATAACATGATAAACATCTATATTCAGAAATCCAGGAGAACGGAGGAAGCTGAGCTTTGTATATGTTTCCACATATCTGGGATATGTGCTACTCCAGTAGCAAATTTGGGCTCAAAGGAAAGACTGTATCAATTGTATGTGCTTAAGGAGAGGCTGAGCTCAGCTTAGAGCTTACATGTCCTTTTTCTTTAAAAGACATAAGAATTGTTGGAAGCTGAAATGAAGACATGTGTTTGGTTGTGGGGTTTTTTGAGAAAAAGAGAGAGAAGCTAATTACACATCTCTGTCCTCAGAACCTATTCAGTCTCGCTGTGCAGTGCTGCGTTACACCAAGCTGACAGATGCACAAATACTTGCCAGGCTACTGAAAATTGTTGAGAAAGAGGATGTGCCATATACAGATGATGGACTAGAAGCCATTATTTTCACAGCCCAAGGTGATATGAGACAGGTAAAAGGAGAAAGACAATGAAACAAAGGCTTCTATTTAAAGCAAAAAACTTCTGAATTGCAGCTCTCAAGGATTTCTCTCTGGAGATGTAAAGCAAAGGAGGATTTAACTTGTGGCCCATGAGTAACTTAACTGTTTGGTTTTGTGAGGGTTTAAAATTCTCCATCAAAGTGAGTTGGTGGGAAGTGGATACCAAATTTGTGGGAGGAAATAAAGTCAGCATAAATTTGTGATTTTCTTTCTGTTGTTTAATGGCAGACTGCTTATTTGGCATCATTTCCCAAAGTGCATTTCATCCTGAAGAGGGGAGTGAGAAGTAGAACACTTCAGAAAATAAATAAGGTCTTATTTTTTTCTTTCACAGGCATTGAACAACTTACAGTCCACATACTCTGGATTTGGCTTTATAAACAGTGAGAATGTCTTTAAGGTCAGTAACAGCTGAAGACAGTTTTGTCAGAAGTTTAGCACTATGGCTGTGTGAGATTCCACTGCTCACATAAGCCTTTCTGCTGGTTTGCAGACAGCCCTGTGTATGTAGCAGTTAGAGTAGCCCATGTGCCTTCTGAAGAAGACATCCCTAATGGCACATGCGAGAGATGTGAGACCTTTGCAGCTCTCTCAAAGCACACAAACCCAATAACTGCTGGGAGATTTCAGTGATAACTTGGGAATCTATTACTTGGGTGTTCTCATTTCATGCTGTTGAGTCTGCCATGACACGCTATCTGAAAAGTCAGATTAGTTAAAATTTAGACTGTATTATGGAATATTTCTGATTTGGTCCTTCATAAAAGCTTGGTGAAAATACCAGAAGTTTAATGCAAAGTCTTCTGATATTTTAAGTGTAATATTTCTCTTGGATACAGGTATGTGACGAGCCTCATCCTCTGCTAGTGAAGGAAATGATACAACACTGCATAAATGCAAATATTGATGAAGCATACAAGGTTGGTTTTCATGTCTTGTGTCAGTATTGACAGGTATTATTTCTCTACAAAATTTACATTGTGTGTTGTTAAGATAAGGGCAATACCATGTAGATGAGTTGATCAACTAAATCCCTTTGGGGCAGGAGTTTGTTCAGATAAACTGACAAGCAAAAAAAAGAAGTTGTAATGAAATTAATTGATAGATGCTTGAGGTTAAATCAGCTAATAAATAGTACCTACAATTTCAGCAATTGTAATTAAATTAAAATACAGCTGTTCCAAAAGTGAATCTCCTTGACTCACCTGGCAGATAAATGGGGGATTATTCTTGCCTGCACAGATTCTTGCCCACCTGTGGCGCCTTGGATACTCTCCAGAAGATGTCATTGGCAATATCTTCCGTGTGTGTAAGACCTTTCAAATGCCAGAATATCTGAAACTGGAGTTTATCAAGGTTAGTACTAACTCAGCTCCTGATGGGACCTTTTGAAGAGGATGTGATCAGGGGAAGCCTCAGGGGTTTCCATTTAAAATTTGTTGTATATTAGCACAAAGAAAGTGCTTCTTGACTCATTGCTGCTTTCTTTCCCACTGCACCATTGGTTTGTCAGTGAGAAGTCACTTGAAGTTTAGCATCTCAACACCCACAGAAGTGCCAAAAGTCACTTTAGTGATCAGCACAAATTAAAAGCAGAAGTCATGCTGAATTTATTAGTTATAGCAAAGCCTCAAATAACTCCTTGAAAATGTTTTTCAAGTCCATACTTGATTCTAGTCCAATAGATAGTAAAATATTAAATTAAATTAACAGAGAGTTGACAAACAGTAAGCTGGTGATCCAGAATCACTCTTCCTATTTGAAACCTATCCTCATATGCAGGCACCTTGCTTCTTATAAAGAAAGTGAGGGAATACAGGCTTTGATTTTAAAAACACGGCATTTTAGTTGGTTTATAGGAGTAGCTACATCTCTGAGGTACAAGTGACTCAAAGCTGGTCTTTTAGCAGTAAGGGATATGTTCTGTTTAGTCATTCATAAAATATACAGACTGGGAGAGTAAACAGAACATTTGACAATGTCTCTGTCACCAGGAAATTGGGTACACTCACATGAAGATAGCAGAAGGTGTGAATTCCCTTTTACAAATGGCTGGGCTGCTGGCCCGGCTGTGCCAGAAGACTGCAGCCCCTGCAGCCAGTTAGGCACCTCCTCAAGCCTGCTGGGAGGAAACCAGGTTTTGTTGCAAAAATGTTTCATACTTTTTTATTTAGACCAATAAAGCTCTAAAATTTACTTTAATCCACGAAATTGTATGTGTTTTATAACCAGAATAGAAGAGAGGACTGTGACAACCCAGAGCAATTAAGGTCTGTCCTTAAGTGTACTCAGCAAAACTGCTTTTGTCCATGGTATTGAGGTCTAGGCAGGAGATACAAAAATGGAATCCTGTTGTTAGGGATTACACTTCAAGCCTGGTCATGAGTGATCTTACCAAGATGGAAATTTTTTTGCACAAAATACAGCATTTACTGAAGTTAAAATTGAGGCACATTGAGCAAGTGCCACTTTGCTCTGTGGGTAGGGAAGGTATTTCCACCAAACATACAGGAGAAATATTGTACATTTCTTAATGGTGCCACTATATTTTGGATATTCCTTTTGTAATGTTTAAAAAACTTTACTAAATTCTGGGATGCTCTGCATTTAAGTTCCCTTTACTGTCCCTGCTTGTCCAGGTTAGGTTATGGCAGTTTTCAGCCTGCCAAATGAACTGGGGGATGTGCCTGTCCACAGTGGTGGTGCCAGGGGAAAGGTGAGGAATATGGAGAGTCATGGTTCCTGTTCCTACCTGGTTTCAAAGAGTTTCTTCTCATCTCTATTCAGTAGCTGCATTTCACAGCTCCAGTTTGGAGCAGACTCTCCTCTGGGCTAATCCTTTCTAGCTCTGCGGGGACATAATCACACTCACTTTTCCTAAGAGGAGGACTAGAATTGATCCCAGAAGCCACCAGCACCTCCTGCTCTCCAAAGGCATTTGCTTCCCCCTCTGAGTGCAGAGCTGCTGCTGTCCAGCACTTAGCACAGACTCCCCAGCTCCATTTTCAGAGCTGCACCAGCCAGAACCACTTTTCTGAAGCATCTTAAATTGAAAACAGGAAGTGAATTTCTCACTTGACTACCTACCTAATGTGAAGAGAGAGAGGTGGACCCAGGGGAGATGTAAGTCTCCTTGCATTAGGTTCAAACAACACAGTGTCTAGCAATTCTGATTGAGCACGAGAAATCTTTGCACACCTAAAGCCAGTCCTGAAATGACAGCAAGTCAGTGAACACACACATCCATACTCCCTGCAAGGAAAAAATGTGAGGTGAGCAAGACTAATAACAAACATTGATGGGAGTTCCTGGAACGGTCCCTGGATACTTTCCAGTGTAATGAGAGGACTGGCTGAGAAGTGGTCCAGAAGCTTTACAAAGCTAAGGATTTACCCCTCACTACAGCTGACTGCTCTGGGGAGCTGCAAATGGGGATTTGCTCAGACCCCAGTAAGTGAAGGGAAGATTCTCCACATTCAGCTCTGCCCTGCCTGCTTTGGCTCCACAACTTTCAAACTCAGACTTTGGCAATGGAGAAACCTTGTACAAGAAAATCTGGCTGGTGTAATCTGCCTCCCTGCTTAGTCAGGAGAGCAGTAACTCTTGTATTTTCATGTTCTGACCATGCACTGACCTAGTGCCTAGAACTTTCTGGGAGGTCTCCAGCTGGAGCTGTTGCTGTGAGCCAAGGATCTGTCACTGCTGCTCATCTCCTAATCATGAATGGCTCCCTTGGTTGGGAGATGAATCACCAGTGGGTAACATCACCAGACATCACTCAGAACGAGCTCACCCTTGCAGTGAGCAACCCACAGTCTGCAGCACTTCATGGAAAATGGAAACTTCTTCAGGTGCTGAGGATGAATCCCAACAGTCTCAGCCCTGTGAGGTACAGGCACAATTCCAGTGACAAAAGCACCCCTTGCCTGCCTGGGAGCCTGTGCAGGCCTTTTGCAGAGCATTTGACCATCAGGAAACCTAAGGGTGTGAGGAGAAGCTGGGATGGGGTGAGCAGAAGACCAAGCTGTGGCTCACTGTGTGCATCCCTGAAGTTCACTAGATTTTCTCTGTTGTGGAAGTCCTGTGGAATGTGGAAACTTGTAGCATTTGTAGGAACCACTAGCAAACCTTTTGCTGAGCCAAACTCCAACCCACCCACTGTTTCAGCTGCAGCAACGGTGGGCACCTGTGGTCTCTCTTGGTGATTCTGCTAAAATTAGAGCCAAGTCATTTGCAGCAGGAAGCACCTGACATCCCTTCTCCCACTCCGAGGTCTCTAACCCTCAACTCCCTCTCTCTGCTCACTCACCGTGAGTGTGGGCTGTGTTCTTTCCTGAAACACGCTTTTCTGATCTGATTTTGAGAAGGCTTTTAATGCATTTTCTCCCCATAAGATCCTGCACATTGCTCCATGTCACCTCATGTCCTCCCATTTCTGTCACCTGATCATGCTGACATCTATCATTGCAAACCATAGCAAAACACCTCATTTTCTTTGAAAGAGTTGAGTTTTAATAAATAAGTGTTCCAGAAGTGCCAGATCTGTGCATCAGGGCTCAGGAGATAGGGATATAATTTCTGGGATGATATTCCAACAGCCATATTGAGGGACTGGGGCAGTTTCTGAGGCTGGTGGCTGTGGATCTGACTCTCACACTTGCTGCTGGTTCTTTGTATCATTATAAAACAGCTACTGAAACACAAAGAAAACTGCCAGAGACCAACACTGTGAATTACAAACCATGGATAAGGCAGACATTTAATCTTCTTTAGCTTTTGTGAACAGGTTGGAATCTCATTCAGCTCCAGACAACCACTGCTGTTATAAACACAACCTCTGCCTTGCCAGTTCCTCTCACAGAGGAAACTGCTTCTATAGGAGAGCACAGGAACTAAATCAGAAGGTAATCCCCATGGCTCAATACCATCGTGCATGAGTCACCCTGACAGATTAAGTAGCTGGCTGCATTACTGCTCAGCAAGTTAAGGATTCATTTCATGCCTGACAGGAGAAAACATTGCCACCTTCGAGTGGACATGCAGGGAAATGAGATGGGGATGAGGATCCTGGGGCTTGCCCGTGGTTGCTGGGGACAGAGTGCTTTTTCTCCAGTTGCTGGTTTGCAGTTGGACTTCTGTGGGGCTTCAAAAAGTGCATTTCTTCCTTTCAGTACCACCCCTTCTACGTCATTGCAGGCACAGTTTGGAGAAAAGGTTTCACTGAGGGATGGATTTCTCCCCTCTCCCTGTGTGCATGTTCGCTGGGTGCTCTCTTACAGCTCAGCAAAAGAGTTCTTCAGACTTCGTGCAGAATGCTTGGAATAAGAGGAGAAAAAACAGTGAGTCCACTGGCTTTTAATCCCTGCTTTCAACTTAACTCTGCTGCCTGCTACATTTTCTTTCCAGGGACAAGTAGTGACATACTCTACAAAATGTCTGTGTTTAAGCAGAAACCCCAGTCATGCTCCTGGAGAATGATCCCTGATCAGAGCAGGAGGCACAGAGGCACCAGGAGCCCATTCCTCAGTTCAGCCTCCCTTGGTGGAGAACTTCTGCTGGCATTTGTTGGTTTGACATTGAGATTTTTGAATATTACTCTGCGAGCAAAGGCTACAACAGAGGCATCATTATAATGGCAAAAAGATGTTTGGCAGCAAGATATGGAGGGGTCAGGTTTCTCAGGCCAAGTTTTTCCATGTCCAGCTACATCCAGCAGAAGGAAATGCCACAGTGTGCAGATGTGCTTTGCATGATGGGGAGAAATCTTATTCTTGGCTTCAGAAAGATCCAATTTGGGGAGTCTGCCCACTGCTGGTGCCTACAGTCTGGGGAATATAAAACCCTATAAAACTAGAGCAGCTGGCATGTGGCATAAGGACAATCCCACTGGGTCTCTGTAGGTGCTCAAGAGAGTGAAAACCCAACGAGGAGAGCGATACTGGTCCCAGCTGGAGATGGACTAGTCCAGTCTGGAGCAGGGTGACCAGCACTAACATCATTCACTGTCCTTCAGTGCCATGCAATCTTCCTGCAGCTCTCTGCAGTGTTTCTACTTTATCTGCCTTGAGTAATTCTTTATCAGCAGCATCAGGTTGGTGCTGATAATGGGGCAGGATATGGGGTCTTAGCAGAGCAGGCAGGGCTCAGCTGAGGGAATCCCTGCTCAGAGCAGGGGGTTCTGGCTGTCCCTGCCCACAGCATGTAGCAGAGCAGTCTCAAGCTGCTCTGGAGTTCCTGTGCCTATTGGAGGAGGGCAGAGCTGGAGCTGGGACATGGACTTGGACTAATTTGTCTCCATGGTCTGTGTGAGTCAGCTTGGCATCAGCCAGAGATGTGGCACGGCCCAGGGTGGGCTCCTCACACCCCTCCACTGCCCGTGCGAGCTGCTGTGCTGATGTTGCCAGCAAGGGCAGAGCTCCCTTTGGCATAAACCAAATCCTCCCACCCCTAAATAAACACCATAAACCAAATCCTTCCAGCCTACAGTAACATACCAACCATTTGCTCTGTTTCTACCTTTGCTGTGACAGCAGGGCAGGGCCTGACCCAGGACCTGCATTGATGTAGTCTGGCTCGTCATCCAGGCTTTCTGTCAGCAGGGCTGTGGGTGAGGATGGGAAGCACTTATCAGTGAGTGGGTTGATGTAAAAACACACAGGCCACTGACACACCGCGTGTCCTGACAATATTTAGCCTTTGGTGCTGACATGTTTTTGTGCCTGGACTAAGAAAACTCAGATCAGTGTCAAGATCTCCTTGAAGAGGCTTCAAAATGATCACAGAAAATTTGCAAACACTCTGGGCAGCTCTTCAGAGCCAAAAAAGATTTAATCTAGAGAGGTTAATTAGAGAGGGTTCCTGCAAGCAGGAATCAGTTTGCTTAGACAACTTTCACACCAGAGGCACAAAGCTCTTGAATATATATGTGTACACTCCCCACTGTCCCCCAGGCCAGAACTACCCTCATGCATCACAGGAAACCACACATTAAATTAAACTGCATTTAAAAGGTCAGCCCTGACTACAGCAGGAGAGTCAAGGGCTGACCCACTGGGTGTGTGCACAAAGTTCTGTGGCACAGGGGATTAGGCTGTGCTTGCCCTGGGGCCACCTCAAGTGTAAGAGGATGTAAGACCTGAAGAGCAACATTTTTCTGTGGCATCCCATGGTCAGGGTTTAGGCACAGCCACCCAAGTGCTGGCCTTTTGAGTGCAACATCACATCCCAACAGAGCAGCCTTCAGTTACAGGAACTGCAATTTGCCTTGGATATTTAACAATTAGGGAAAAAATTAACTGAAGACAAGAGTGATGGCTGCATTGCCCTTGCTTGGTTTGTACTGGCCTAGTGCACCAGCACTCTGCCCATGAGCCCCATCCCCAAACAGCAAAGAACAGCTGAGAACATGGAACATACCCTGCCCTTGCTGGAGTTTCCACGTGTGTATTGCCACGCTGTTCTCGTAGTCTGCAGCATCATCTGTGACGAGGAAGAGTTTGGACAGGATGGTGCTGAACAGTAAATGGACTAAAAAGGGGCCTTTGTGAAACCCCCTCCTAGAACTGCACCCTGACTGTGCCCTGCACGTGGCTGAGTTTCCAGCCAGCACAGATCTGCTGGTGCTGCCTCATCGTTTTTCCAGGCCTGGCCATGTGCCTGGATATCTGCAGGCACAGATGGGGATCAGACAGGTCCCTGCTGCTCCTGCCTCCTCTAATCACTCTGCACAAAGCCAGGCAGGAGCAGGGCAGGCTTTAGCAGCGCAGAAAGCATGTGTGAACTCATAGAAGGAAACCAAACTGACTTCCTATTTTGATTGCAACATCCCAGGACTGATGCTGGAAGCCCTGAAGGGACACTGTGGTTCAGAGTCATCCTCCAGAAGCTTCCTGGCTGCAGCCTTTTTGTGTTGGATTTGGTGAGAAACCTGAGCTAGAGGCTAGAACCATTAATCAACCTGGCTAAACACTAAAAACCTAGAGATGCAGACCCCAAAGCTTCTGAATTGCTGCAGAAACCACCAAGCCAAAGGCGTCAGGGTGGAGGTGTCACTGTGCATTTTTCTGTGGAAAGGGGAAGTGTTCCAGGCCTGCTCTGTGCGTGCAGCAGCCCCTGAGTGCCAGCCCCATGGCACAGAGCTGGCAGGAAGAGCTGAGCTCTGAGCAAGCAGGTTTCTCTTGGCTAAGCAGGTCACCTTCCTTCTCTGAACTTTGTGTGCCACACAAGAACCGTGACAGCAGCACACTCACCTGGATCAGAGCCCTGGGATGCTCCAATGGTGACATTTTCATAGGAATAGGAATCCTCATCCTCATCTTTCTCTGCTGGAGAGAAGACAGAGGAGTGACAAAGGACCTACAGAAGTGTAAGTGACCTTGCAAGATCCCTCAGCACCTGCAGGAGGGGGCTGTTTCCCACAATGAAATGTAGATTAGCTAAAAAATTGTTAGTCTTTGTGACTGTGGCCTGTGGTGACCGAGGGATGGGGTATCTGAGTACAGGAGAATGGGATGATCACTCCCACAGGAGCACAATCACCAGTGTTTTTGGGCTGTCCTGTTTATAGGCAACAGATGGACTGATGGGGCTTGGGCATCCCTCAGATCCCACATCCTTTTAATGGATGTGTATCCTGGACCCACACTTGCTTCAGGCCATACACAGCGATGCACAAAGCTCTGCAAGAACTCTCAAGCTCCCTGGAGCCCTGGGACAGCCAGGCTGGATGAAGGAACCCACCTTGCCTGCCTGGAGACCTGCCACGGAGTGGATCGAAGAACCGGGGGCAATTGTAGTAGTATCCCAGAGATACGGGCTCCCTGTGAGAAGAGCAGCACTGTTAGCTCCTCCTGCCAGGCACAGGCTTCCCAGGCTGAGCTGTGGGAGCACCAGGACAGCACTGGGACCAGTATGGCTCCACTGGACCGTGCTGGTGGCAGCACAGGGTACTTACACATAGGCAGCATCTTCTTGCAGGCAGTTCTCTGCAAGAACAAGGGTTTGCTGTCAGCACCCCACCATGGTATCACCCTGAACAGCCATCCCCGGCCACAGCTGGACAAACCCCCCAGAGCACAGCCACAAAGAGATCCCCAGCAGTCACAAAGAGATCCCCAGCAGTCACAAAGCCCTGGCACAGCCCCGAAGCCTGCCCAGAGCAGAGCACACAGCCCTGATCCACCCCTGAGAAAACCCAAGCTCAACACTTCTTGTGGGCACACCCTGCCAGCTGGCAGGGAGATGGGGAATATTCTCCCTGGCTTGGGAAAGGAGAGCACAGCCCCACACACCAATAATCCTCTTAGGGCAAGCACCAGCTCACACTGGCCCAGGGAGGAGCAGGAGGCTGGGGAGAATCCATCCCTCTCCACTCTGCCCATTAATCAGATCAGTGATTTTGTGTCTTACAAAGCAATCTCTAAATTGACCGAGCCAGAGCTCTGGCAGCTGCAGTGCTGGCTGCCTGTGTGCTCTCTGCCAGCTCCCAGCCCCTCAGCAGCCTTTCCTTCCCAAACCCCCAGACACGTGGATGCAGCATTTACCTGCCAGGAAATTCTGGTACCTGGACTCGTCCCTGCTCCCTGGGGACAAGAGAGGGGCACATCACACATGAGCTCAAGCTGAGTGATGGGAGCAGTTTGATGATGCTGGCAAACCACCAGGTCTGAGGTCAGGGGACATCGCTGCAAGGTTGGACACTCCAGGGTACAGGAATTGGAACAGCCAGGGCTGATATTTTAAACAATCTGTGGCTCCAACCAGGACTGGTCAGCCACAGAAGGATGAGATTTAAACTCAGACCCAGGATAGACCCAAATTAAGATGGATGTGGACCTGTTGGAGCAAGTCCAGAGGAGTGCAAAAAGATGCTCCAAGGCTGGAGCCCCTCTGCTCTGGAGACAGCCTAGGGTTGTTCATCCCAGAAAAGAGAAGGCTCTGGGGATACCTTAGAGCTCCTTCTAAAGGGGAGAGGGACTTTGGCCAAGGGCTGGGAGTGGCAGGACAGGAGGGCATGGCTTCCCACTGACAGGACAGGGTTAGGATATTGGGAAGAGATTTTTCCCTGTGAGGGTGGGGCAGTCCTGGCACAGACTGCCCAGAGCAGCTGTGGCTGCCCCATCCCTCAAAGTGTCCAAGACCAGATTGGAAGGGGCTTGGAGCAACCTGGTCTAATGGAAAGTGTCCCTGCCCATGGCAGGGAGATGGAGGGAGATGATCTTTAACAACAATTGCTCTGTGATTCATTTTATCTGCCTGTCCCAGGAAGCTGCTCACCATATCCAGTGTGATGGGAAGCACGGAGCTCTTCAGTGACTTTCCTGAAAGAGAGGAAAGAGATCTAAAATCCCAGGTCTGAGCAAACCCTACCAGCAGTTACACACCACCATCCATGATACCTTCCTGTCAGGTTATCAAGCACACACACAGAGCAACGGGAGATGAAGAATTCAGGGTAAAATCCCAAGACAGGAATAACTGTGCTTGAATATTGCAGCAGTTATCGTGGCTGTATAGTTACTGGGGGTTTTGGTGATGGGGAGAAGGGGATTTATCACACCAAATGCTTATAAGTGAATAATGGCCATTTCTTTTCCATGATGAAAAGAATTATGTACATTATGTACAGCCACAGCTCATTTTCCTGGGTTTGATTTAATCAGTTGCCAGAAGAATGCTGTCAGAATGAAGAAAATCCAGAAAAAGTCTAATCCATAAACAAAAGTCTAAACACTTACTGACCATCAATAAGTGAAGCATCCCAATCAAGTTGAAGATATCCCTGCTCCTCACCAGGGGAAGGAGCAAGGAGGAGCAGGAGAAAGGTCCCTTGCAAGCCAAACTATTCTTTGATTCTAAATACAGCCCAAGCCCCATCTACAGGGCCCAGAATGCAAGCCCAAATGTTCATGTATGTTGGGTGAACTTCATCCAACCTTGGCTCTAGAGCTAGATTTTATTTGGGTTTTTTCCTACCTTGCTATTGATAAGTTTTCGGGTTCCTTAATTTTTTCCAGCCTTCGGGTTGCAGCTGGCAACAACAACAGAATTACCGTGTTAATTATTATGGCAGCAGCAGATATTTCAAAGAGCACAGAACATCCACCAGAGAGGGATCCCTGGGACTGGCAAGCATTTTCCTTATGCACCCTTAAACAGCTTTCCAAACTGTTCCTTGAAGGTTCAAAAATGGTCAAAACAAGAAACAAGTGGAGAGAAAGCTGGTGTCTGTGCAGACCACAGAGCTGGCAAAGCCTCGCTGGAGGAAGCTGCGATCCCAGCATTGGGATCCATTGGGGGCCATTCCCCTCCCTCCACGCTGCAAAGTGCAGCTGAGAGCTTTGGTGGGGCTGGTGGGAAAGACTTGTAGAGGGGTTGAGGGGCTTGGAGCCAGCAGAGGCAGAACCACGGACACATTTCACACCGAGCCGGCAGCCGCTCGTTGTGACAGAAAACTCAAAAGTTCAGCGCTGAGCCCAAGCTGCTGCAGGAAGCAGCGAGGGGGGATGATGGATGAGTCACTCCTGTCACCCACACCAATGGGTGGTATCAACCCACCTTGGTTCTCACAGGGTGCACAGCCTGCTTCCAAGAGCCCCCAGTAGTTGAGGCTCCAGTGAGTTATTTTCAATGCAAAGGGCATTTTTCCCCTAAAGCTCAGAACTCACATACCTAGAAGCGTCTAAGGTGGGTTGGATTGTCCAGCATTGGACAATCCAGGTCTCATCATTTCATGGCCTGGCTGCAGGGTGACCCTTTGAACACTGTTTTCCCCCTGTTCTATGAATGAAGAGCCCTCACACCACGAGGCAGGAGCAATACTCACTGGTATGGGATCGAATCACCTCAAATCTCCGCTGGCTTTCGAGCCTAGAAGAAACAGCAGTGCAAGCTCAGCTGAATTTTGGGGTTTATGATAAGGAAAAGAGATACAAGAGACCTGACTGGTGAGTGGAGGGCAGAGGGCACCATGCTGGGCTCGGTGAACTGCCAGCTGCATGGCCCACATATCATGCATGACCTGGGAGCATCTTCCTGGACTCTTCTTTGAGCCTTTAAAGACAGGATTTAGTTTTGGACCACTGGTAGAGCAGCCAACATCAGCAAGGGAAGGATCCAGGGGTGAGGAAAACATCATTCAGGATAATTCCCATTCTGATGCTTCATCTACCAAAGGCCACAAGAAATTTTTACCCACAAAAAGATGGATGTTGTGCATGAAATGACTTTAAAACCCCACTGCTTCACCTCCACTGCTGCCTCTCCCATCATCCCTTAACATCAACATGAACAAAATAACGTTATCAATGATAACCTATGCCCAGTAACCTCTTTACTTTTTAGTTAATAGGAGAGCTGCTTTTCAGAGCATGAGAGAATTCAACAAGTTTTCTGCTGCAGATGTTTCTACACAGGTACTTATTCATTCCTTTCCCCCTTTTTCCTTGGGATTGCCCCATACTGAGCTGGGATTCATGGCCCAGGGCTGCTGGGAGAGCTGTCAAAACCTCAAACATACAGTCAAACCACTTTTCCTGCAAGACACCCAAACCACACCTCTAAAAAGAGCACACAACCCCACAAACCTGATCCCAAACCACCTAATCCAGGTATAAATTTCAAGAATTTGGGACAATTCAGCACGAGCCAGTGAGGTGTGGAGCCTGTGGAGGACGGAGCCTTCAGTGGCTGCTCCATCAGTCTACAACGGATCCCTCCGGAGCCTTTCCCCAGAGAAACAAAAACCCCAACCCCTTGGAGGCCTTTGCAGAGCCCCATTGCTCCTGTAACAAAGCTTCCAACCCAACTTTTCTTTTTTTTGGCATCATTTACTGTGGTTTGTGTGTTGCTGAAGGAAATAAGGGGCAGTGTGTGTGTGTGTACGCCGCATTTCCTTCATTTCTTGTGCTGCAGGTCCGTGGTTGCTCTGGTTCAGGGTCCAACCAGCACCAGCCAAGGGCAGGGGCTCCTTTGTGAAGTAAATAACCTTTCTATCTCAGGGCACAGCAGAACAGGGTAAGAACTTGCCCTTCTCTCCCAGACCTTTTCCAGCTAGTTAATGATTCAATGACCACACAGTCAGAGCTTCAGTTTCATTTTGGATTATTCAATGTAAAGGCACTGCCCCTTCAGCAGCACCTTGGGCCTTGCAGGCCATCCTGGTGTTATTTTATTTTTTATAAACCTAGATTTCAACTTGGGTCTGGCTCTGGGGCTCACCCTGGGTGATTCTGGGGGAGAAACATAATTGGGAAAGGAAACTTACTGGCTCCTCCACTCATTCAGCTGTGTCTCCCGTTTGGTAGCTGGAAGACAAGGGAACAAAAAGCTCTTAGAAAGGTTGATCTAGGAGTTAGAGATCAGAACGGCAAATAAAATACATTTACAAAACTTCTTCAGCACGTCAGGACAGCGGAGCAGCAGTTGCAGTGGGGTTTTGATGAAATTTTTTGAAACTATGTTTAAATTGTGGTTTTTGTCTCAAATCCCACAAAGCAAAGCAGGCAGTCCTGCCCCCAAACCCCAAACTGCAGCTTCTCCCCCCTTAAAACCCACCCAATGCTCAGGGATGGGCTCAAACCCCACTGGGTGCTCCCCCTATTTCTGTATGAATTTATCCTCCAGACTCCCCTTCCCTGGCTGCCCTTCTGTTCCAGACTCTCTGCAGGATTTTGTGTGACTGGAGCTAATCCTCCCAGGGCGGGTCCCAAAGCCATCCACCACAGTGGCCATGGAGAGGGATCTGCAGCTCACAGTGCCCCAGGGAAGGGGCTCCTTGCCTCCCTTTGGGGCTCCTTCATTCCTTTGGGTGTTCATTCTCTCCCTTTGGATCTCCTTCCCTCCCTTTGGATCTCCTTCCCTCCCTCCCGGCTCTCCCGCACAGCCTCTTCCCTGCTCCAGCTGCATCCCCACAAGGTCAAAGCTGGTACCTGGCAGATCCAAACCCACATGGAGGGCACATTCCAAGAAGAAAGCTCAGGACTCACCTGAGAGCCGGCACCTGATGCAGAGGCCGATGGCCGCCCCGAGCAGCATCAGCGCCGCGGCCGCCCACAGCTCCAGCTGCACCATGGCCCAGCCACATCCAGCCTGAAACACACGGTGAGGGGACCCCATGAGCTCTGGGCCATCCCTCAGGGAGCTTTTACCCCCAAAAACCGGCTGCTGTTTGCCCTCACACCCCCAAGGGAGGCTGCAGAGGATGCAGAAGGGACTTTGGGGTTGCGATGCCCTTTCCTGCACCGCTCTGAATTCCTCATTCCCACCCCCCAAACCCACCCTGCTGTTACCATACAGTAATTTTTTAATATCTAGAAGAGAGGGCAAAAGGGAGGCACTCAGCAAGATTTAAACAGTCAGGACCTTTGCACAGCGTGCTCTGGCTCTTTCCTGCAGCTCAGAGTGACTTCCAATGTTAAATTCCCCACACCTTTTTCTGCACTGAGCTGGCTCAGCCACCGGCTCTTCCCCTCCTTTCCATGACAGGCTTTTGCACAACCAGCAGCTAACATTTTTTAACAGTCAGCACGATTTGGCTTCAACTTCTTCCTTTAAAATACAAAACATCCTACAAATATCACAGAAAGCAGCCTGCTGGCACTGAGATGGATCATTTAGCCCATTCCTATTCCCCAGGGTCAGATTTTCTTTAGTTACACATTATTTTAATTTCTTTTTATTTTTAATAAACTTTCTTTTTTCCCCTAGGGATGGAGACACTGCAGTGTGCCAAAGGCCAGTACATCATTGCTCTGGCTGGCAGGAATCTTTCCTACTGCCTTCCTTCAACCTCTCTCGTTACAACTTCAGCCTGTATTATATTGGTGAGTGGAGAAGGAAAGGTATATTATAGCAATTGATAATTAAAATAATTCAAAATAATGAAACAAATGCCAGTAGCAGACAATAGAAAGCAGCTGCTTGATTCTGCCCTGCTCAGCACCTTCTCCCTCTGCTTGATTAAAGTGGAATAAACAACATTTCTCTGCCCAAACTCCACAGAAGTTTGGAAGTTGCTCTGACAGCTCAGTTCAGGTGGGAGAAAACCCAAAGCCTCCCATGGCAGCTGAGCCTGTGGGGGCTGAGCAACATCCTCCTGTCCCTGCCAGGCACTTGGAACAGCAGCTGAGCACGTTGGTGAGAGGTTTGTGGTCCAGTTTGTCATTGAAGTCTCAGTCCTGTGCCACAGTCCTAATTATCAGGGCATGGTGAAAATAATCATGGAGTAAATCAGCACGGGGCAGGGAAAGGAGGGAAGGAAAGTCCCTCATTTCCACTCAGACAGGCCTTGAGCAAAGCCAGGAGCAATGGCTGAGGGGGGTTGGTATCAGCATCTCTCAGTGGTTGCCAAACACCATTTGGCTGTTCAGAAATTACCTCAGTGAGGCTTTGAGACCACCCTTTGCTTGAGAACAAACTGGGCTTATTCCTATTATGTTCCAGCTTCCCTGGGCTCTCCAGGACCTGGCAGCTACCAGCACTTGCTCCACCATGGCTTTGCCTTCTAGAGGCCCCCAGGGGCCTCTCTTTCCATGAACAGTTTTTTGCAGCACTTTCTGAAGAAGATGAATAATTTTAAATTTAAGTGCCCAGACATCCAGGCACCCACCCTAGAGGTGCAGGACCAGAACCCAAAAGAGCCTAATCAAAACCATGTGGTTTCTGCCATCACTTTTCCTTTGCTCAGCATCCCCCATGGAAATCATGAGCTGTGGATCATCTGTAAAGCATCTCCAAGAGGCAGCTGAGGGAAGCTGGTGGTGACCAAAATACAGAGGGCTGCAATTCTGCTGCTTTGTTTGTGGGTTTCCTGGCTTTCTTTTTTTTCCTTTGAAGTGAAGGCAAGGCAGAGCTGAAGGCACCTGACAACACTGACCTAGTTTGTCCCATTGCATGGCAGGCTCCTTTTCCTTTCCAGAGCCAGTTTTACTGTCGTGGGCAGTGAGGCAGCACAACCTGTCTGCTCCTGAGCCCCCACTCACCAGGGACACAAAAAGAGGTTATTTGAAGAGCTGATGAACAGGATGTGCTTTGTCCCACCCCATCAGAGCCTTATGCTCAAAGAAAGCCCCCAAGTCACACACACACCTTTAGCCCAGAGATCATTTTGCTCCCCATTGCTCCCCAAATCCTCTCTTCTGGTACGAGCCCTGCTCCGGTAAGGAGCTGACAGAAGGAGGTGATGAACAGATTTATGACAAGCAGAAGGCTGGAAGCACTTACTCACGGCTAGCAGGATATAAATAAAATATTTGGAAGGCTGAATGTGCTTCCCTCTGCTCTACCTTGGAGAGGAGAACAAATCCTGCACAGGAGGACGTGTGGAGTTCATGGCTGGCCAGCCCTGCCTCCAGGATGCTAAACCCAAACTCGGGCAGAAAACAGCTTCCCACCCATTTCAGGAGTGACACTTGGGTTGTGTCACAATGCCCTGTTCTGTTCACACATTTCTCTCTTCTCCTTTTGCCTGTTTTTCCCCTTTTTGTGCAGAGGAAGCCGCTGGGACCACGGCACACCCCGAGCACCGTGATCCCACAAATCCCTCAGGAGCAGCTGCTCCAGGCGAGCAATTCCTGGGAGAGCAGCACACTGGAGTCTGGATACAGCTGTGGTCTCCTTCAGAGGGGGAAGTTCATCTTCCAAAACAGGGCCTGCTCCTTCTCTGGCCTCAAATAGATTCCTTTTTAGCAATCAAGGAGACAGGCCTTTTCTTACTAAAAAAAAAAAATTAATGAACTTGCAAAAGCTTATCTACTCTGTGCCAGGTCTTGTCCTAATTTATGGATTCACCCCAGTAACAAGGCTCTCTGTGAAGATCTGAAGGAAGGAGAGATGGTTTTATCCTGGAAGATTAAAAGGTCTGCTCTTAATTCCACTGAAATGGAGAGTAGGACGACATGGACACTCACTGTCCATCTGTTCAAGATCAGCACAACAAAGTGAGGAAACCTTTTGAATTGAAATAAGGCAATTCTGGCTTATAAAATCAGTGGATATAAGCTGGATATGCACAGGCTAGAAAAAAAATTCCTAATGGATTGAAAGTCTGGAATAATTTCCCAAAAGCAGAAGAAGAGGCACAAAGCTCACGAGAAAAAAACCTGCAAGAGCTCTTAAAGTGAACTTTAACTTTTTGCTGAGAAACGAGGAGAGTGAGGAATGTGTTGATGTGGCCTCAGCAATGCCTGGTTTTCCATGAGGTAATTTCTGATGAAGACATTTTAGCCCTTTGCAGACATCAAGCCCACCCCTGAGTTCACACTGCAAGATAAAGACTAAAATCATGCATTTATATTATGTATTCTATCTATCAATCAAAAAAAATGCCCAAAAGGCAAATATAAACCAGTCACTTTCTCTCCCCTCCAGAAAGTTTTGTGGTCTGCACCAGTTTGCAGTAAATTAATTCTAATTAAGGCTGTTAGGATGAGTCACTGGTATGAAATATGAAGTGGAAAGTGTATTTAAAGACTCACCATATGAAATTCAGCACACTGACTTGTTGAACAGATGCAATATTCAGCTTGAGTCAATGTCTCTAACACGGCTAAGAAAAGCAACTCCACTTTCTGTTTGCCTGTGTGGCACAGATTGCCACAGAAATTCCCATCAATTCAGAAATTAAAGTCTCAGACCAAGGAAGCTCCTGTGGCTGGAATGACTTTGATGACCAGCACTGAGCCTTCAGAAAAGCTCCTTCCCAGAGGTCTGCACATCTCAGTTCCTACCAGATTTATGCCAGTGTCAGGCTTCTCAGGAAAGCTGCTGCCATTAAGTTAAAATCTGGGTTTTTTACAGCTATTCAGGCAGACCTGGCTTTTATGCCAATAGAAGCATTTCAGTAGAACATATGATGAAAGGCGAAGATTAGAATTGATAAACCAACTTTCACATGGATTATAACTCTGGAAAATGCTTTTAAAAAAATCTTGGGTGGAAAATACGGTGCAAAACCCCAGTCACAACAGGCATGGCAGCACAAGGAGGTGACTCACAGACGTACCTTGTATTTATAACTTCCCTGTTTTGGGCAGCACTGAAGCCTCACAGCCTCATTCACTTCCACTGGGAGCCCAGGGGATGCCATGTTAGCAATACAGGCAACCCCTGTGTAACTACAGACTCCAGAACCACGAAAATGAGCCAATCTCATGCAAGATTCTCCAAAAATTATCCTCTTCTGCTAAATTACCTGCCTCATTGCCCATAGTACACTGAACATTGCTCGCACAAGAGAAAACTGTTGCAAAACCAAATCTCTCTCTCTATCTAGAATTAGCTATTTCAAGCACTTAGATGCAGTAAAATAAATACATTCACATCCATGATGCCAGTCAGCTCTGCAATCAATGGAAAACCCAGGAAGTGTCGTTTCAATCAGCTATTTTTAAGGACTGGGCTTTGGAGGGGGAGCAGCGTGGGCTGCAGCAGTCCCAGGAGCTACAGCAGGAGCCAGAAGGACCATGCAGGGATGGGGGAAGCTCAGCACAGACTGAATCTTCCAGAATATTTTAGAAGATGTGATTGCAGAAATAATGTAATGAAACCCACGCTTCCAGCAGCAGATGGACGAGGAAATGGAAAGGACAGTGGTGTAAAACAGATGATCCAGGCTGTGTGGGATGGACCCATCTCAGGCCCAGAGGGGTCTAAAGGCCCCTGAGAAGAGAGGGTTGGTAATTCCTACCTTGGAGCTGGTGATGGCCAGGAGCAGCAGGGAGGAGGGAACATCCACCAATGTCGCTTTTCAGAGAGGTTTTACAGGGATGACCTTGAACTTCTTTAAAGGGTCACCAACCCTGGGGATCTCTGAGCTCAGTGGGACACCCCGGTGTCCCCACAGGAGCCCCAAGAACCTTTGGGCTCTTTCCTGTCCCCATCCCTCCCTCCCTCACCCACCTTACCCACAGCCTCAGCCGCTCTCCCTAACGTGTCCCAGCTCCTCCAGCACCTCTGGGCTGCAGCTGCCGGGGCTGGACTGGTTCCTCCAGGGCTTGTGAGCAGTTGCTGGTTTCCTGTCCCCTGTGAATCACCAACCCCAACATCCGCTGCCCAGCCTCTGCTGCTCCCCCAGAGGCGCCGCCTGCACAAACCCACTCGGGTCACTTTGGCTCCCGTGGGGAGAGGAAGAGGCTTGGACAGTGTGGAACCACACACAGCACCCAGAGCCCTTCCCTCGAGGTTCAGATGGTGTTGGTGCCCCCAGAAAAAGTTCAGGCTTCCTTTTAGCAAAGAGCCTACAAGGGAACAACCCTGTGCAACTGGGAAAATCTCAAAGCAGGCACAGCAAACTGCAAACCCGCTCTCAGATTTTATGGAAAAGATGATAACAAGTTTCCAAAGCAGCAAATAACCCGAGGTCACTATTGCTAATGGTCAAACCTGGAGCTCCTGTCCAGTGCTGGAAGAATAAAACCAGTTCTTACACTTCAGCATTGGCATTTTGCATGCAGCAGGCACAAAATTTCACTGCACTCTTAAAAAAAGTAAATCCTCAAATGTTTTGGTGCTTGAATGGAATAAGGAGGGTTCATGAATTCCCTGCTGGGAATTTATGTATTGGCTTTAAGCCCTGTCACAGTCCATGAAAGAGGAATCCTGCTCCAGCACTCGGGAAGTCTGCACACGCACATAAACGTGTACATGGAGCACACGAGTTACAACCATAAACAAAACATTTCATGCTGCTCTCACCAAGGCTCTTCAAAGCCTCTCTTTTATGTAAATTGTTCAGTAAAGGGAAATTTCGTTATATTTAAATTAGGGCACTCCGGAGCTGCCACAACCAGCCACCTACACAAAGCTCTCTGTGCAAGAACATGACTCTTCATCATAAAAATGATTTAAGGAGCCAACTGGTTACAATTTTTGCAACTCTGGGATGAAATCTGACTGTTGAGATTTCAGAGGAAACGTTATTCAATAAGATAATTATCCAGTGTATGTGTAAGTAGACTTTATCTCTTCCAATGCTAACCTGACATGCAAAAATAATTTTTTTTTTCGAGAGCCATTCCCAGACAAGATCTGGGTGCTGAAGCCTATCTTGAAATCAGTATAATCTGAACCAAAGATAAAAAGAGGCAGATTCAACTTTTAATTCCTCACATGGTTTCTTGGTGTTCTCCGTGTAAAGGATATTGCAAAAGGTGAAATTTTTTTTTCACTGCCAAAAGAGCTGTTACAAAGTTGGCATTTCTTAGAGATCAAATAGTTTATTAACAGCTTTCTAGCAGGGTTTGTACGTGTTCAAACATAAGCTGACAACAAAAGAGCTCTTCATAGCACAACTGACACTCAAAATATACTGGAGACATTTAAAGTTCATCTTTTGTACCCAAAATCGATTTGATCAGGAGCAGCCACTGCTAAAAAGGCGCCACGCGTTTGCCTACGGATTCTCTGGTGGGTCTCAGCTTCAAGTATGAGTCAGTGCTGTGGTGTTACCCTGGCTGGCTCGGGCTGCACCTCGTGTCAGTCCCAAACTGTCCCCTGATGCACCCCTGAGCCTCTCCAGAGCAGGCAGAGGCTGCTCCTGTGCCCAAGGAGCGATCCCAGTGTGATATAACAGCTCTTGGGTACAGTGATGCCCTCAAAGGTATCCGTCCTCTGCAGAGACCAAGCACCTTGATTAGAGGGTAATTACTGCAGCAGCACACGCCTCTGTGTGGATCTTAACTCCTTTCTTCACCTTTCTCCTAAAAAGGGCTGGATGTAAATGTTGATGAGTCCTCACTCTGAGCACTTCCCAGCACAGCTACAGGTTCTGCTCTGCATGAGGCCAGAACAACTCTCCTCCAGCTCACACAAAATGACCCCTGAGGCACCAAACCCAGGCTCTACCCTCCTGAAACCCCTTCTGCCTCATCGAGACTTGCTGATAGAAACAATTTCTGATTTGACAAAAGGTTAAATACACAGAAGCATGTTTTTATCTACTGCAATAAGCTACAGAAACACCACATTGTAATTTCACCGTTCATGTTCTTTTCAAAGCTCACCCATTTCAACCTGGGTTTGTTTTCCCCCCATAACATAGTTCCTACTCCTTCAGGCAGGTTCACCAGTTAACCTAAACCACTTTTCCACCTTTTGATACAAAGCTGACAAGCTGCAGAGAGATCTCTTGGGTCCAGAAAATTCATTACAACCCATTTTCCACCCAGCTCAGCTTACCTGGGTCCTGGGAAGCCAAATGCCCTGAGGGCTGATTTCCATTCTTTCAAATAAAGGTGGGGGCTGCTCAAAGACCAGCTGATTTTGCTTGAATCAGGTGTTGTGACTAACACTAATCAAAAATCAGCAGTGAAACAAGGACTGAAAACCAGGGCATCATCTAAATCCCTTCTTCTGCACCAACGCACCCAATGCTGGAAAGTTTGAGAAAGCTCCAACATGTTTTCCAAGCTCCAACAGGCTCCAAACTCACCAGCTTTGCAAGTCAAGCATTGCTGTGCACCAGCATCAAGCCCCTCTTGCTTTGGGACAGAATGAGCACGTGTCTCATCCCAACCACTAACTGGGATTATAATGCACTCCAACATTTTCATGGCAGCTCTAACGCAAGCCACATCTTGGAGGAAATTTTCTGATGTGCTGAAGCAGTGCTGGATGTTTTTGTACACACCTAGAAACTGTTCTCTCTGCTGTAGTGGGATGTGCCTTTCCCCAGGCAAAGGGGAAGTGCTGCCTCACCCTCTGTCCCAGCTGCATGTTGGCTCTCTCTGAGCTGAAACTGAAAGTGGTTCCTGCTGAAGGGAAATAAATGCTGCTGGAGAAGTCACCTCACAGCCAGGATCCCTGGGTGCTTCACAAAACTTTGCAAAGACTAATCCCAAACATCCCTGTGGTACAAAGCTTCCCTTTCTTATCCTGCCGAGTTCATCCTTGTGGACACAATAATTCTTAAATTTGAAGACAAAAACCTAGAAGGTTTGAATGCTTTTATTTGAATTTTTATACAGCGATACAAATTATACAGATTCGTTACAGTACAGATTTTGCAGGGGTTTATAGAGGTACTTTGTGAGTTTTTGGTTTATTTAAAAGAAAGAGGCAGATCTTGGGAGCACGGTGACATGAACAAAACAATCTTGTGGTAGGAAGCAAATCCTGACCACAGGGAACACTAACCTGGCTGAAACCTACTGGGCAGAAAGGTGGTGGTAGCATTCCCAGCAATAACATCCCAAAAACATCAACCCTGGGATACTCTAGAGCTTTACACAGGAATTGGTGAGCACACAGGTAAGAGGGTTGTTCCTGTAACAGCGCTGAAAGTCCTCGAAGCCCTTGGATGTACTTCGCTGCAGAGGGGACAGAAATGAGGAAAGCTGATGTCACACCCAACCTGCTGTCGAGCAGGTGACGGCACGGAACAGAATCGCTGCCACGATGGAAAAGGAAACCAGAAAATGCTTTAGATTTAGCCACTCAAACAGGTACAGTAAGATGAGGAACACGATTTCAGACCCAATAACGCTGACGCCACGTGCCCACCGAGACACCACATGTGCCACCAGAACCTAATGGCTCGTGTCTTGTGTCCAGCTCGGGTTCCTGTGAGCAGACACAGGAGAACTGCAGAGCTTCCCTGCAGGCCCTCATGCACAAGAGAGGGGCTGAACATGTAATGTCATCAAGGTATTGCTATTACTAATGTGCATCAGGCTTGAGAGTCAAGTGTCTGGCACTGAAGGATTAAAGCCTTTCAGCAAGCAGGGTCAAAAATATGATTATACCATCCTAAATGCTTCTATTCAGTTTGGTTTAATACTGCTACAGCAAGTGCTATCACAAACAACAGAATAAATTACAGATTATATAAATAAAATGTATGCACCAAATAAAATATGTGTCTCTGCCACTTTTAATATATTTCATTCCTGCAGTGGGTAAGTGGCATTTAAGAGGAGGGAGTCAACTACCAGACAAGCAAATTCCACTCTCAGCTGGAAATCAAATTCTTTTTCAGTTACAGAAACTCCCCTTTCTAAAAATTTAAGACAAGCAACACCAACTAAATTGCATCCTGGGAATCCATCCCAGGGAAGCCCTTGAGAAGTACAAAGATTTCTGATTCTACACGAGAATAGCCGGAATAGGTGAGAGGTCCCTTTCCTCCAGAGCCTTTCCACTCCACTGGCAGTGAAACACAGAAACCATCAGAATGTAAAACATAAACTTAACAGAGATTTCAAGATGCTCAATGTTAACAGCTCCTCGCCTGTGCTCTTGCTGTGAGTGCAAATAACCACGGGACAGCTTCAGTGCACACAGAGGGAATGGGGCTGGTACAAAAACCTGGGACTAAGCCTTGGAGCCAACCTGACACACAGAGCCTGTGTCCAAAACACACCCAGGGGAACAGGGGCTTCCAGCAAAGCCACTCCAAGCAGATTTGTCCAAAGCAGGCAGCAGAACAAGGGCTGCTCTGCAAGCTCAGAACTCTGCTTGAAGAGGTTGCATTGTACACTCCAAAATTTGCTGGCTTTAGTATTAAATCTTTCCTGCAAAGAGGAAGGGTTGCAATATTATAGGGTTTGCTCTAAAATTCTTACAATTTTATCATTTTTCCTGAAGACAAGTCAGCAGCCAGTACTACAGGTAGCAAATGCTCCTACTAGATTATGTACTAAAGTCAGGACTGAAACTATAACAGTATTCATAACTTAAAAATATCAGTATCATCCCAAACTGCCCTGGGACAGCAAGCTTGGCCACAACCATCATCAACCCTGGAACACCTGTAGAACTTCACAAGTTCACAGTCAGCACTGGAGACTGAGTAGTGGCAGCACATCTCAGCAGCTGAACAAGTTGTTGCTGCTTTAGGAAGGCCAGGAAGCCACACTCGAGGGCATGAATTTAATGTGTCTCTACCATCACCAGCCTGTTATTTGAGTGTGTGAACACTCCTCCACCTTTCTTCAACCAGCAGAACAACCCTGATGGCCGCAGGCACAAAGAGCCCCCTCGGAAATCACTGCAGGATTGCACAGCCCAGCGAGTCAGCAACACACCCGTGCCAGCACTGGGTGTTGCCCTGAGGGCTGGGATGAGGTCTCCCAAGGGCATTCCTGGACTCAGGAGTTCAGTGGGGATTATTTTTTGGACAGCAGAGTTTTGCAGCTCATTAAATGCCACTGTCCACTGCTGCAGTGTCCAACAGCTCTTCCAGACTCCCACCTTCCCCACTTGCAATTAAACTGGTGTAACATGGCAAAGCACTTCCTACAGCAGCAAAGCAAACTCGGTTTCAGTTCCAAAACCTGCCTGGTACCTTCCTGCCTTCAGTTTTGTTTATTTGTCTAAGTTTTAAGCTGGAAAAAAGCACTGCACAGCTACCAGAAATAATTCAGTGAGAACATGAATAGCCACAAAGTGAATGATCCATTTGCTACACTGCTGCTACCTCCTCAGTCTGGGCTTTGCCATGCCAGGCTTAGCTTTAAGCAGCAGGTAAAGTAAAGCATCACAGGTTAAACCTCAACTGCTTTTCCTGCTGGGATGGCAAGAAAATAATCTTGCTTCCTCCTACAAAACTTAAATGCCACATCCATGTATTAAATATAGTTGTGTTAACTGCTGATAAAAGCTGGTTTGATAAGCTTCTGTATAGGAAAATGTTCATCCACTAAATTTTTGAAGGAGAGAAAGAAAAAGGACTGGAGGAGTCTGACCCTGAGCCACATGGGAAGCACAGTGTGGAATGCTCCAAAGAAACCAGGCAATGCATGAATGCTTGCATATGAAAAATTACTAAAAACAAAACAAAACACAATGATTTTGGGATCAGGCTACATTCACTAGTGGGAAACTTTTAACCAAACCAGTATTAGCAGATACACAAAAAGACATCTAGAACTAAGATGACCCATTTGCCACCTCTCTCACTCCTCAAGGCTCCTGTCCTCCATGCAGTGATGAAATCCCTGCTTCCAGCAGCACCAGTTTGACAGAGCAGCTGTGGATAAGCATGGCAAGAGCTGCAGGGGACCAAGTCTCCACCAGCCCTGATCTTCCACACTCCTGAGGCTGACAGGGAGGACAGCCAAGTGCTGGCACACACAGCTCCAGTGCAGGACTGGGACTGCTCAAGCTGTGGTAAGAGCAGCTCTGAAGAGGGTGGACTGAGTAGCTGGAAGCAGGAACACTTCCCATCCTTTCAGGCTATGGAAAGCAGTAAAACCAGCAGGGAGGTCAGAGCTCATTTCCTCAATAAAAACATGGCTCTACCTCTTTCAACTTTAAAGCACACACTTCAAAGCCACCGGGCAGCAGCCTCCTTAACCATTCTGCCTAGTGGGAAAGGGCTCTGGTGGAAGAGTTTGGAGCAAGTTGGCAAAACAGCAGCAGTTGAACCATTTACTGTCTCAGCACCCACACTGGAAGGACACATCCTGCCCACTGCCAGCCACAGGGCAGCAGCAGCAGCACCCATCTGGAGGAGCACAGCCTGATCAGCTGCAAGAATTCCAAATCCCACCTGGCAGCTTTAGCAATGCACTCAAGTGACACTGAAGTCACAGGACAAAGAAGCTGGGCTCATTTCCATCCATAATTAATTTTTACTTCACTGTTCCAGCACTCTTTAGATTAGATTCCTCCCCTCTATCTTTTCCTCTTCCCCCCTTATTTTGTATCAGAATGGCTCTAGGACAAATTAACACAATATCTGAAAACTGAAGGGGGGAAAACCATGGTAGAGTAGACTCAAATAAAGACCAATGTTAAATATTACTTAATGTTTTCTTTTATTTAAAAGATCATTCACAAAATACCATATCCATAAATTTATTTTGTTATGAAGCAGAATGTGCTAAGTGTTTGGAATTCTTTTTTTTTCCTTTGTTTTTACATTTAAAAGTCAACTGTCTTGACTAGAAGTGAGTTTTTGTATGGGAATTTGTTCTTAAAATCTTTTCCACATTGAAGATGTAAATAGATCAATTATTGGTTTGGAATACAACCACACAAATGCATGTCTGTCTTAAATTAAGTATTAGTGTTAGACAAATGGTTCTTATCTCAGAAGCAGATTAAGTGAAAGGCAGAAAGAAGGAAAGAGTAGTTCTGTAAATTGCTGGGACTCTGACTTACAATGGGAACTTTAGGGAAGAAATTCATCACTAGCAGTGGTGCTGGTAGTGGGGCAACCGTGCTTCCAACCTCCTCTTGTAAGTACTCTGGGGTGCTGGCTGGTTTATCTGAAGGCTCACAGCACTGGCAATATGGGCCCAAGCTTTTCCCATACACTGGACATGTCCAAACTTCAGTGTGGTAGAACCAGGTTTTGGTTTTAAACATTAACAATTTCTCCTTTTGCTTCAGCCTCCCCTCCCTCCTCCCACAGAACACTGACAGGAAACATTTCAAGTGAAGAGAGGTGTAGTAACAAGAGATGCTTTTTACCCAAACTTCTAAATGAGAATCTATAGCAGAAAGATTTCTAATCTGCCCATTTTCAAGGTATTCTAAAAGCTGAGGTCCTAAAACTGTACCCCATCGGGCAAAGAAATACAGGGGATAGTGACGATCAAATACTGCATGGCAAAGTATACACTCCTTCAACAAAAATAAAAAAGTCAATTTTATTTGTAGAAACTTCATTTAAAAATTTACCAAACATGTAAAACCCAAAAAAGTAAGCAGAAAGAGCCAGTGAGCAGTTGTGCTCAAACAGGCATGGCTTTGCAGCACTAACCTTGAGCTCAGAGTTGTAGTAGCATCATACCATTTGGAAGTCAAGAGCCAGCAGGAAAAGGCTGCTGGCAGAAGCTTTATCCACACTGATTCCACCAGCTATTCACTAGGCTTGTCAGGCAAGGCATCCGTTAAATTGATCCTTCCTGGCAACCCATGTGAAAGAGCAGCTGCCCCCCTCAGTTTAATAAGGGGCTCTGCTGTGAACAGTGACTATCACCAATTCTCATGAATGGTATTTCACTACTTGGTTAGAACTGTAAATTTCTGTTCAACTCATCTGGACTCTTCAGTTTTCCTCTTCAGAGCCACAGCAATACAGAACGAGACATGCAAGTCAGAAGAGGAACACTGAGGAAGTAAAAGGAAACAATACAGGGAAATAACTAAGTCTAACCTGTGCTTCTAAAGTAAAACAAACCCAGAAAGGAAGAAGTGAAGCAGCACCTTTGTCCAGAGACCTCCACACTTGTGGAAGCAGCCACACTGCCTTATCTACTGGCAACTGTGCTGCTTGGAAGGAAACAGAAGAGGGAAACTCAGCACAAAGCAGGCACTAGATACAGCAAAGCCAAGAACGTACTAAAAACCACTTGTTAACAGCTGACATGCATTCACAAGCTCTGTGTTTTCGGTTTCAAAGAGGACAAATACCAGATGGCAGGAATGGTAAACTGCAGGGTTGACATTCCAGCAGAGCTAGTCACTCTGTACTGTCTTGCTTTTTCTCCCGCCTCCCCATTCCCTCTCAACCCCAAACTCAGTCGTGTTCTTTTACTACTTCCTCCCGGGGCTTGGCTCCTCCAAAGATCGCAGAGTTTGGATTGGCTACTTGATTGAGGGGAGTATCGACTGTTCGAGGTTTGAGCTGGAGTCGGGGTCGCTGTGCTCTTTCCTCTGAAAGGAAAAACATTCCACTTGTGAGATCTGCCTGTGAAGGGCGGGAGCTTTAACCTGACAACGAAACCAGGAGCCTCCTTTGCGGAGGAAGACCAAATCACACACAGTAGGAGTTTACCTTCTGTTGGCTCTCTAAAGTCCATGGAAGACCCACGAAGGGGAGGCCCATCTCTGAAGCGACCGGTGCCACCACTTCCCATGGAGGCACCTGGTGGTCGCCGGTCTCCAGGGCGGGTTCCTCTACCCCGACCTCCCAAGAAGTCATCATCTTTGAATCCTGAAGATGGAAGACAGTGAATTTAAAGAGCATCTTTTGCAACGTTTTCAATCTATTCATATCTGGATGACTGGAAAACCTTGCTAGTCACCGCTGTCAGTCCAAGGTGATGCACTGAGAGCCTTTGCAGACAGATTGTTTCACAGAGCTCTAGCACCTCCTGGAGGAGTTGTTCGGGTTCCATTTGAAACCAAGTACATTATGCCAACTTCAGAAAGTGCTTTATCCACTTAGAGGCTTATTGGAGTGCTGGAGAGTGGGTCAAGAGAGTTTAAAATGTGAACCTTGGCTGCAACTTCAGTTTGCTAACATCATTAGCTGACTTGAGAGAAAACACTGCGAGTACTCAGTACTTCCATAGCCAGATCATCACACTGGCTACAGCCTCAGCATGAAATCTGCAGGAGCAGAGCAAATGGGAAAAATAGCTGAGGAGTACTGAAATAAACTTATGAAACAGAGTAAAACCCCAGGCCTGTTTAGCTGTACTATAAACTAACCAGGCATTTACTAAACTAATTAAAGGACTGGGGAAAAAGCCAAATCAGACTTAAAAGTGATTGCATTTCTTCAGTTTATGTATCACCAAAAAAGTAAATCAAGAACTATCTGTCACTGACCAGAGTTCCAGTCTGTGCCAGTGACTACCCTTGAGTATCTCTCCAAGCCCCCACTGCCTACATTTCAGTGGGAGGAGGATACTTCAGGCTATCAGCATACAGAAAGGGAATACACTCATTTTCAGAAGCTGCCTGGAAGAGAATGTTGTTTGTTTCTCAACTGAGATTTTACTTTTCATTTCTGTATTTGGCAGAATTGCAGAGCTGTCCCTTACTTCAGTGCCAAACAAGCCATCTTTAAAGACTTGATCTAGAGCAAGACTGTACAACCTGAGAAGAAAAGCTTCTGTAGCAGCTAAGACTGAAATGCTAAGCTTTTGGCTCACAAATCACTCATCCAGCATTTAACAGGCTGAAATGCATCCACATTTGGAGAAGCTGCCAAAGAAGGTACGAAGCTGTGACACAGAATGCTTAGCTCCAAAGGCAGGTTAAGCGCAGCACTGCAGCAAGCTCCTCTCTCCAGCATCATGCTCCAGTCCAGGCTGGGGGCAAGGGCACACTTTGCTTCTCCTACATCGTTCATTCCACTCACGCAGAGACCAGACACTGCAAAGTTGTACTTGCCAACATCTCCCCATCAGAAAATGGACCAAACCCATGAGTTCAGAGGACAAAAGCAATTGTGTTAATGCCACCCTGCATTCTAATAGCTGGAACTGACTGGAAGTTAAGAGCAAACCCAATGGCTCCATCACTACCTTCCACTCAGCAAGCTCAGTCACTTGCTGAAGCTGCATTACCACAGCAAGTCTAAAAGGTCAGGAACATTTTGCATTTACAAGTGCTTTGGAACATTAATCTGACTTTAGAGAAGTCAGTTACTTCAGGGACACGCATATGACATCAATCTCCTTGAGAAGATGAAAGCCTCTGCTCTGACAGAGTATCAGCCTTCCTACATGATCTGTCTGCTTCTGCTACTATTCAGAAATTAGTTGTATGTTTGAGAAATGCTTAAAACAGGCACCCATAGGTTACAGCTGGACAAGAATTCTGTCATTGACAGTCATCTCAGAGTTTTCTATTGAGACACTTTCCTGTCAAGTTAACAGAAGATTCCCCATGAGGAATCCCACCACAGCTGCAGGATGTCCGAAGTTGGCACACAGAGTAGATTCAATCAAACCAGTAATGGTGACAAATGAAAATGAGAACATTTCAGTGCCTTTTAGGCTTCCTATCTGTATAAGTGTTAATACTGATACCAGAATTGAAGTCATCTCTGGAATCCCATCCACCTCCTCTGGATTCTCTGGAACCTCCTCCCATTCCTAGGAAAAAAGCCACAATTTTGTTCAAAAGTCTGAAGCTGTGGGAGACTGAGCAAGGGAACACCAAACCAATGTTTCAGTCCTTCAATATACAAAGTTACGCTGCTGGAAAATCCTTTTCTTTTGCTACTACCAAGTTCCATTGAACAGGAACAGTCAGTTTAAGCTAACCAAGAATAAAGTGTCCAGAAAAGTTTCTTTAATACACATTCAATGGAAACCTCTGGTGAGTCCAGTTAAACCAACCTTCAACTGCAGGCAAGAATGTTTTTGCACTGGAACAAGAGACATACTCCAAAATAAGCACTTGCCTACATGTGCTTACTCACTTGTCAAACATCATCATAAAATAGTAGCAGATCAGACTGTTGGGCTTATGATTGTCCTCTGCAAGACACAAAACATTATTAGGGGTATTGGTCTCACTTCCTGGGTTAGGAGTAACAACACATCCAGCTTTTGGACACAAAGCACAGCTAAAGTTCAGACACCTCAGGAGCAGCAGCAGCAGCTGGTTAGAAATGTATATATATATACAAAATTGTGCCTTTCAATATAATCTTCATGTTCACTTGCATGCCTTGTCTTAGCATTAGTCAGCACCAGAAGCCATAACCACAACCATTATATTTAAGAAACTACTTAGAAAACTGGAAGTCACCTCTGTCATCAGGCCCGCCGCCTTTTCTGAAGCCAAAGCCACCTTTATCCTGTTTCCTGCCTTCTGCTATGTCCACTCGGAGTGATCGGTCGCCCAAAAGCTGTTAAATCAAGGGGAGAATCTGGTCAGGATGTATCATGAGGGCTGCCAAAGAGTCTGAGACTTATGCTTGTCTTTGATCTCACAAATTAATTGCAAATGTACTTACTGCACCATCGTATGTAAGAGCTTCCTTGAGTGACTCCACCTCATCGAACTCTACGTAACAAAATCCTGTAAGAAACAAATGTCAAGTTAATAGCACTTTACAAGGCCTTTGCAAGAGCATTTCTGCTAACAGCTTCTAAACATGAGTTGTGATGTGCACATGCAAAATGCACATGGCTCAGAAACCAATCATCATCAACAATGAACACATTTACCTGCACCTGTTAATGATGAGGCAAATCCTGAAATAGAACTCTGGGCACTCTGTGAATGAGTCTAATTCCCTTTTCCACAGAGTTCTCATTATAGATTAGATCTGATCTATGCCTTCAGACAGTTATTCAGCTGAATACTGACACTTTGTTCCTAGTGTTTTTAAACAAGAAATTGAAATACTCATGTGGGCAGCAGTATGATTTTGTGTCATCACATCATTTACTGGATTTACTCAAAGGCCCTCTGTTTTCCAAGGTAATTCTTTTCCACCCCTTAAAGTAACTTAAAAATATAGTCCATTTCCACCAGACAATCCCCATAGCAATTGAATTTGCATCCCCTAAAACAACTGCCTGAATGGGTTATCTACTTGCTTTCTCTCCTTGTCTACTAAAAAAAGACAGAGCTGAAGCAATGGGAGTCTTCTGAAGTAAAGGAATTAATACTTAAGGTCATGGGGCTTAAGCGGGTCAGCTCTGGTAGAATTCATACCAGACAAGGTCTGAGAAAGTTCTTTTATGTCAGGACAAATATTGACTCCTCACTCAGGTTACTCTGTATCTCATGAAGATGAAACAGTGACTCATTCAAATGATACATATTAGTGAATAAGAAAACCTGCATAAGTCAACATAAAAGCAGAGAAGAACTGTGCTTTAGACTGAAATTCCCTTTTAAAGTGACTTTTTTGCCTACTCATTTTTCATCTACCACCAAAGAACTCTGAACGCTCACCTTTAAATTTGTCTGTTTCCTTGTCTCTGACTAGTCGTACGCTCCTTATGCTGAGATCCTTGAAAATGGCATCTATGTCTCCTTGGACAGTGTTGAAGGGCAGATTTCCCACATATGCTGTGAAAGGGGGTTCTGTTGGCAGCTCTTTATTTCTGCGGGAACCAAGGCCGCCACCACGAGACCTGTTGGGAAAAGCACAGTGTCTCTGGAACTGCCTCCCAGCACGGCCACAGTGCAGCCCACAGCACTGCTCAGGTGCTGGGTTTAGCTGCAAGTCCATTTTCCCACAGCTTTGGTCAGTTTTTCTGTCCTTTTGCCTGTACCTGCCGCCTGAACATTTGGTCAACTCCTTTCCAGTATTTCCTGCTGCAGTACTTGAGTGGGAAACTGAATACATTACGAGCTGAACTCATTAATGAGGTGATGAATGAACTTCTCAACTCACAATTCATTAAGGAAAGCAACATAAGGTTACCTTTAATGTCTCCTGCTCAAAAGCATTACCTCTAAAAAAAACCATCTTAGAATAGATTTTAAGAATAATTTATGGCAATAAATAAATACTTGTATGGCACAGGTTTGTCAGCTTATCCGGAAATTAAGCTGGATCCAATGCTTTTAACTAAACAGTATGTTACCAACACCCACTCCACAATCATCCAAATTATCTCAGCAACATTTAGCTTAAGAGAAACACCTTCCCCTAAGTCTAAAGCTGTGGCCATAATTGTTGGATATTTGGACTGGATGCTTTGAACTGAACACAAAATAAATTTGGTTGAACAAGGGGTTCTGAGGCAGAAGAAAAATCACATGCTGTCTGGATGCTTACTTCTTTTGTCTTGTGAATTACAGAGGTAAACTAGGTGGTTTTTCCCTGTCTTGCCCCTCAGTACCAGTTAAACTCTTGGTAGTGGGTGCTGAGGAAATAAATTGTACCAGCTGAATTCTTTCCTGTACTAATGTAACACATCTGTCTGAACTTCCTGCAGAGCCTAATCCTCAAAAGCCAACTTGGAATTTCTGTACAGAGAGCAAGGTATGCACAAGGCAACCTGAAATGAAAACTCCTAGATTTGTAGGCTATAGAATGCCACTGGTTCCAACACCATTTGTCCCACATAAGCAATCTCTGACCTTTACCTGAAATATCTACTTACTATGTCCATCTTCCCTTTATCACCTTCCTTCTACTGGGCTTTGCTCGTGTCTGTTCCCTTTCCCTGAGGCTCCCCGTGCATTAAAACCACGGTGGAACACAAGCTGTACCAGAGCAGGATTTGCCAATGTGACATGGACCAATTAAATTGCTCCAGAGTCCTTCCTAAAATCCAGAAGGTCAAATAATTTTATCATTTCCTTTTATTCTGGCTGGCTGCGTGCAGTCAAAAAATCCACTGGGCAAGCAAGGTACTTGACAGTATTTAATAAATATTTTACTACTAATGAAACAGAAAATGCATTAAGCTTGAATAAGATTCTTTAACTTTTCCTAGGTGAGCTTGTCATTTGTGCCTTATTTAGCAGCTCCATGCAAGAATCATTTGTCACCAACATTATCAACATGCTGCTAAATCTACTTGAATCACTATCTACATATCTTTAGTGTCCACCCAGGTTTGCATTTTAGCATTTTTGACAATATTCCTCATCTGCCTTTGTCTCATTAACAAGTCAAAAACATACTGGAGAACTAAAGCTGTAATAGTCGTGAATTACTTTAGTTACAAGACTGGGTTTAAAGAAGGAGCTCCAAGAAAGCTGAGCTGCTGTTCCAAATAATCCCATAATACATAGAATCAGTTCCATGTCTTTGTCCTTATTTATCATCTCATTTAGCATTAGGAACAGCTATTACAGATCATATATTTAATTTGCATCCAAAAAAGAAAATCTTAATGTTTATGTCCCACAGGAATATCAGACATGAGTATGAAAGGAGCTTGTACACATTCTTAGGGCATTCCCCGAGCTGCCAGTCACCTCACAGGGAGCTGATTCACCTACAAATCCACCCTGGAGTTGAGTCCTCAGCCAGACCAACAAGGTGATCTGGACAGCTGCAAAGAGCACTTTGCCAAGATGGGAATAAGAAGGAGAACAAGGGCTGGAGCTACAACTTTTATCAACAACCTCTACTCAGCTCCATTTGAACCACTTCTAAAACCACAACTCTCAATCCCCAAAGGGATTTGCTGTGCTACAGACAAACCTCCTTTCTACCACAGTGCACCAGAACTTCACAGGCTGTATGTGTGGAAATCCATGCCCTGTTGTGCAATCCAGATTGATTTGAAAATCAGAAAATTAAATATTCTTCTCCAATTTGATATTAAGGCTTTGGTTATCAAATATATAACTATACCTTTGGTATTTTAGTTTCCATTTGAAGAACAGGAATGGTCAATAACTACCTTTCAAACCAAGTTTCTTATGGAACTCAGGTATAGCAATACAAAAAGACACTGTACTTCCCTACATTTTTTCCAACACTGAAACAGTGAAATAGAAGAAAGGGGCTGACTTCAGTAACCAAACAATGAGATTGGAAGATTCTCTCATTTGCAACAACATAGGACAAAAGTAAAAAAATAATTGAAAACACATCTGAACCAGGCAAACCAGAGATCTGAATGAATATCTGCATCTCCCACTCTAAACTTTTGCTTAGACACAATTAGGTAATAATTATGTCATCTTACTGTGAGAATCTGAAAGACATGACTTGATTTCCTTCTTAGAAAACCAAAGCAGAAAGCTGAAGAGGAAAGCTTGCTTCTAGCAACACCCCCAAAATTGAACTTTGGTGGGCTGAGTTAATGCCTTTGGCCATATTGGGTAGAAAACAACTAAACTCACATTTTGAAGCTACTCTTTTGCAAAGTTTAGTTACATCTCCAGAAAAGATCTGCCACAAGTTCAAAATGAAGGATATTTTGAATCCCAGTATCTGAGTTAAATAGCCTTCCACTATGGACCAAAACTCAAGATTTACCTTTTGCACAGCACAGACGCAATAGCCTACCTGGGTTCTTACATGAGAGTTTTTCTGGGGCACATAAGGATCAGCAGGATGACAGCATCAACCCTGCAAGACCACAACACTACCAAATTCAAACCAAATCTATTCAAGCAACCCAGGACATGTCTGCAGTAAGTATCAGATGTCTTCAGCAAAATGATTATCCAAGCCTAAAAATTAGGAGATAGCTTTCAATGCTGGATGGGTAAGACATGGGATCCAAGCTGCCAGAAGCATAAGGACTAACTTCTCCATTTTCACTGAACTTCAGCAGGTGAATCTTAACCTTTAGTAGGGTGCCCAGCACTTCAAGCCACACCTAAATAAACAGCCTAGCAGTGAGTTAGGAGTGGTAAACACTCCCCTTCTTTCTACTCTGAGCTCTACAGACTTTCAGTTTCAATGAGGCCTCAGTAGGCTTAACAGGCTTACAGGTTTTCCTGTCAAATTTTGGGCTCCAAAATACTTTCTAAAAAGCTTATAGTAAGCATTTTGTCATTTATGTCAGCATCACATTCTTCACCAGGAATAAAGTGACTTCTGCATCCCCTAATATTATGATTCAGCTTTTAGTCAGTGCATCACTAAACATCTCAGGTATAGCAAAATCCCATCTCATCACACTAGTCATTTCCTGATGCTCTTCCACCATTATTTTGATGATTATGAGAAAGAGGCAGATAACTTAGTACCTGTTGGGCACTGATTTCCCATCTGTCATACTGAAATCCTGTGCTCACTCGCTCTGTACACCAAATATTATGCAAAATGCAACTTCCACAACAACTACTACATCTCAGCTGAGTTCACATTAATCCTACGGTCCTAGAGAGCCTAAAAATGAGCAGAAGCCACTTTAAATTAGCATGGGATTCTTTAATCAGAACCTTCAAGAACAGTCATGCTTTCATTACACTTCATATTACAGGACTTCATATAACATACACCTGTTAAATTGTGAATTAGCTATTAGTAACTTAATAGTGATTACAATAAATTAGATAGAAGTATGCACTGGACTCTAATATTAGTAGTATCTGATGTTTAGAACCGCAGGTAAATTACATTAAGTATATTATCTTATCTGTAAAGACATCTACTAATTTGCAGGATGCCTTTTGTTTACCAAGCAAGGATCCACATCTTCCCTGACAGTAAATTTAAGTTCTCTTACAGGAACTGGAATATAAAATAACATTTTAACTGGCATTTTATTACTATACAGAATATGCCTACATTGACTAGGATACACTGTGCAGCAATACCTGAGTTTATAATGAGTCAAGCACCACTTTAAGCTGCTGGAAAGGTTATTTTGTTACAAAATTTTAAAAAATAACAGAAAAGCAAGTGGCTACATCATCTGTTTGCTCTGGGACATTTCTGAATTAGACACAAAGGGTATCAGCGCACAAAAATGAGCTTGAGAAGCTTAAAGTATCAGAGTACTTCCAAAGACAAGAACTTACTGCTGTTCTAAGTCCAGCAGCTCCTCCCTGCTGCCTAAAGAGTCTGAAATGAAACCAAGTTATTCATCTAAGAGCAAAAACGGGCACAAACACTGTTGATCAGGCAATACACCCTTGAAGATCTGATTATACAGTAATACATTTGTGAAAATTTGCTCACAAGGAAGTTTAGTCCACAAATTTATGCCTACTGTTTTATTTCAGTACACACAGAAACTTGTAACAGCACCAACCTCCAAAAAAACCGATTGTTTGATTGCACTTTCCTAACCTGATTTAAGACAAACTTCTAATTACTCGTTATTGTGTCTTAAGCTCCTCCCCTAAAAACACTCTTCAGCAAAGAGACAGAGACAAGCCCGATTCCTAAGGATCAGGGATTTACAGCACCCGGAGCCCCGGATAACGCAAGACGGCGGCTCCCAGCGCTACTCGAGCGGAGACACCACAAAGGCCTCCCATTTCCTCCCGCCGCAGGCACCACAACGCTGCCCGCTCCCGGGGCCGTCTCGTCCCGCCAGCACAGCGGCCTCCTGCCCTGCTCCAGTCCTGCAGGGACGGTCCCTCCGCCCATCCCGGTCCGGCCCCGCACAAGCTCCTCACGGCCTTCCTTGGCTCTGGCCCAGCACCTCCCTAAATCCCCCCTCCAGTCGCCTCCGGGACGGCGGGAACAGCGACACCCTTTTCCTCCCGCCGCTTCCCGGCGCTCCCGAGCCGCCCGGCCCTGAACCCCGCGGCGCTGGCCGGAGCAGCGCGGGGACGGCCGGGACCCCCGGGACCCGCAGCCCCCACCCCGCCGCACAAAGCGGGTCCGCCGCGGCCAGCGGAAGGGCACTCCTCCGCCCTGCAGGAGGGCGGCCGGGGGGCAGAACGAGCCCAAACAGTTCCCAGAGGCAGCGCCCCCACCCCGCAACCCCCGCCCGCCATCCCCGCGGAGCGGGGCAGGCCAAGCCCTGCGGCCGCGCCCCCGCCTCGCCCGGCCAGGGCCGCTGCTCCTCGCTCCCGTCCCAGCTACGGGGGGAGCCCCGAGTGCTGCCCTCGGCCCCGCTTACCCGCGGCCGCCGCCGAAGCTGCTGTAGGCCCGGTCGTCGTAGGGATCGAAATCCGCCATCGCCGCCGCGGCCTCGTCCCCGTGCGAGCGTGACAGGACCGCGCCCGAGGACCCCGCAACGCTTATATACGGCGGCGCGCGGGCCGGGGCTGCCCCGCGCGGTGCCTGACTCCAGCTCCCCGCCGCGGCGGGGCTGTCCGCGCTGCTGCCTGTCGGGAGCTGCGCCGCGCCGCTCGCCCCCGTCCGCTCTGGGATGGGATCTGCCCGGGGATCTGATCGATGTCTGCTCTGGGATCTGCGCGGGATTTGCCCGCGGCTCTGCCCGAGGATCTGCTCCGAATCTGCCGGAGGATCTGCCTGGGATCTGCCCGTGGATGTGGCCGGGATCTGTCGGGGATCCCCCCGGGGATCGGCCCGGGCTGGGCTGCGCTAACGGCTCCGGTGAGCGTTGGACACTCCGGTGCTGATACGAGCCCAGCCCGCGGCTCTGATTCCCCAAGCATCCCGCTGTCGCTGCGGGCAGGGATCACAGAGATCATGGAAATAGATCCTGCTCCAGGTGTCACAGCCATCCACAGTGATCACAGGGGTGGATCCTGCTCCGGGGTCATTCCCTGCACTCCCGCGGGTGGCACCGGTGTCTGGCAGGACAGCAGCAACACGCAGTGTTCACAGGGCTGCTGGAGGACAGTGCCGGATATTATTGCAAATTAAGACAACGGGCTGTACTCGAGAATTTCAGTGTCCTTAAAAAAATACCATTTGTACCAACTGGTTTGTCTCCCTTTGCCAGGCCATAATTTAATGTTTTCTAATAAAACCACACGACAGATTCTCATTCGATAACCAACTATGCCCACACCTCGTGTCCCTGCTCTGCCGATCCCGGCTGACCCCGCAGGTTTTGCCCCTCGGTCCCCGCGGATCCAGGCTAGATCCACCTTCCCTCAGGAGATGTGAACCGGCTGAGGGGAGCCCCGGAGCCCTCGGGGCACAGAGCTCTGGGTCAGGGAGGAAACGGCGCTGAGGGGAGCGCGGCTGTTGCAAAATGTGGACTATGTCAAGATTATCTTAAGTAGTAATGTTCTTTAATATCTTCGCATACTTTCAGCAAGAAAGGAGACCTAACCCGTGGGGCAGGCAGCAGCCAGCATCCCTTACTCAAGGACATCCTGGAACTAATGAGCGTTAAGGATGTAGTAAATTCGGGTGTTGGTGTACGTCTGTGTAAACTTTGATAACTTAGCAAAAGACTCAAGGTCCATGTATCCTATAGCTGATCTATGTTCATTATAATTCTAAAGACCCTGTGAAGACTCTTCCCCTCACCGTGTGTCGAAGTTAGCTGAGGTTCCGCAGCTTGTAAACTGCTAATCAGTCCCGATAGATGGGCAATACTTGGAAAATTACCAGCTCTGGACTTCTGAGTATATACACAAATAACGGTGTGAAAAGCCCGGTGGCATGTGCTGGATTTGTGGAACACCACCGAGCTCTGAAATAACCAACCAATGTGTACAGCGAGTGTGTCACGGTTGGCCTGTGGCACACCGGGTAAACAATCCGATTTTGCGGATGAGGGGTTGGGGGAGCGGGGTGTGAAGGGCGGCCCTGAGGGGAGCGGGGTCTGAGGGGACAGGGCTGGGGCTGGAGGGCCGGGAGGCACTGAGGGGAGCGGGGGAATGAGGGGAGCGGGGCTGGAGGGCCGGGAGGCGCTGAGGGGAGCGGGGCTGGAGGGCCGGGAGGCGGTGAGGCGCGACCATGAGGGGAGCAGGACGGAGGCACCGGGGCGCTGAGGGGAGCTCCTCACACAGCCGAGCCCTTCCCGCGGTGGCCGCGCTGCCCCGGAAGAGGCGGAGCGGGCGGGTGGCCCCACGTGCGGCAGCGGTGGCGGCATGGCGGGGATGGAGGAGATGGAGCCCCGGGAGCAGCGGGGCGGCGGCGCGGCGGTCACCGACCCCCGCGGGGTGCTGCGGCAGGGCCGCGCCTTCCTCGATTTCTTCTGGGACATCGCTAAGCCGGAGCAGGAGGTGCGGCTGGCGGCCACGGAGAGTCTCCTGCGGCACCTGCGGGAAGGCAAGAAGGTGAGGCGGGGGCCGGAGGGGCGGCGGGTGCGGGCGGGCAGTGGGGTCACACGGCTCATCCCTCCGCTCCCGCCTGGGAACGCCGCAGTGCGGACGGGCACGGGCCGTGGGGCTGGCGGCCGGGCCGCGCTCGGGGCAGCCCGGACACCGCCCAGCTCGGTCTCTCTTGCAGGACGATGAGCTCAAGTACACCCTGAAGAGGCTGGTGGAGGGACTGGGAGCCACCCGCGAGGCCGCCCGCCCTGGCTTCAGCTTGGCCTTGGCGCAGGTCAGTGCTTCCCAGCGCGGGTCAGAACCGTCGGCAGCCTCTGTCCATGCCTGGGGTCTCTTTTGCTGGCTGTGCAAGGCTGGAGGGCTCCCTTCTGGCTGCACATGGGAGGGGAGGCTCTCATAGTAACCGTAGTGGTTTTAAAATGGTGATACTCTGCTTTAGAAACTCTTACAAAGTTATGAACTATACCAATATCACATTCATACTACAGAATTCAGTCCTGCTTCAAGGACCATCCTTAATTTACAAACTGTGACCAAGTTTTCAATTATTCTGCATTTAGTACTATTACTGCTTCTTAAAACTGTCTTGCTCTTGGTCTTGGTCTGTTGATGTGGGATATCTGAAAAAGTGTCCCTTTAACAAACACTTCAGAGTTTTTTCTTCCACAGTGGTTGAATTTGTAGACAACCAGCAAGGGGTATCACCAGTGGTGTGTGACCTCATCTCACCTGAGAATTTGAGAAAGCAGAAGAGCCTGTGTGTTTCCCACTTTGATCAGCGCCTTACCCATTAAGAAAAGTTTGATTACCTCTGTTACGGGGTCAGGCAGTTTCAGTAAAATGTTCTCATTATTATTCCGTCATGTACAGGGAAAAACCCTAGAATATCAGCAGGTATATTTGTGTTTGCATAGAATCCTAGAATGGATTGGATTGGATGGGACCTTAAAAATCATCTCGTTCCACCCCCTGTCATGGGCAGGGACGCCTTCCAGCAGACCAGGTTGCTCCAAGTCCCATCCAGCCTGGTCTTGAACATTTCCAGGCATGGGGCAGCCACAGCTTCTCTGGGCAACCTCCGCCCTCACAGGGAGTGATTTGTTCCTAATATCTAGCCTAAACTGACCTGTTCTGTCAATGTGAAGTCATTCCTCCTTGTCCTGGCACTCTGGGACCCCAGAGTCCCTCTGCAGTTCTCTTGGAGCCTCTTTAGGCATGGAAAGAAGCTCTAAGATCTCCCCTGGAGCCTTCTCCAAGCTGCACAACCCCAGCTCTCCCAGCCTACTTCCTATTCTGTACATCTTTACTGCTCTGGTTGTCTTTATTCTGGCCTGATAAAGCAGCACATCTGCTGCTGTGCTGAACAACTGTTCAGCTCTATTTTAGCTTAACCCAATACAATGTCATGAAATGGAAGAACTGCAAAGAGCTATTCCATCTCTCTCCTCAGGTTTTGCAGGCTTTTGAGGAAATTCCACTGTGCAGCATTTTGGAACAGATAAAAGAAAAACACAATCTGGAAAAAGTGAAAAAAGTAAGTCAGCTCATGGCAACATTTGCCAACTGCTAACTTAAATGAATTGTCCTCTATGTAGTTTTGGGGTTCTTGTTAAAGCAAGTGACTATAATGAAATAACTGTTTCTAAAAACTGGAAGTTGATGTCATTGTCATCTGGCCCTGTTTAAGGTGAGATTTGTCAGTGTGATGAAGACTACTCTAGCACAGTTCTTAAACTTTGTGCAGGGGGTTGCTTTTCAGTATGTTCTCTTCCCATGGTGGGGTATTCAAGGCTGGATCTTCCTGCCATCTTGCTCCACTGATCATATAGCTGCATGTGAAAGCCTCTCAGGAGAGCAGATTTTTACCTATTTTCTTTTTCTTTGTTTTTTGTTTTTTGCTTTCCTTTCAGAAACTTGTGAGAAATGCTGCTTTTGGGAACTTTTTTGGAGTTATGGCTCTGTTCCAGTCTGGGCGGCTTGTGAAGGTAACACTGCTGTCAGGTGTGCCAGGTCTGGTTCTGGTGCTTCTGATGTGGAAAGAGGATTGGCAGAGAAAGGCTGGGTCAGTGGGTAATCGATGCAGTAGCACTTGAAGCATCAAGTTCAGTTCATTTCTACTTTGTCATCCATGGACTCTTCATGACTTTCTAATGTCTGTTCCTGAGTGGAATGTAGGAACTGTGTCAAATAGTACAGGAGGTTCCTGTCTGTCCTGGAAGGAAGGGATCTTCATTCTGTGTTGTCATATCCAGCTGGAAAACATGACGTTGGAAAAAGCTGAGTGGCCTATCAAGAAACAATTGCATATTTCTTATTACAAGTAGGCATAAATATCTAAAGAGTGGATTATTACCTGAGCCTCCAGCTTTATTTCTGATATATGTCCTCTGGTTTTGGCTTATCTTTCCTTTATAGGACCAGAAAGCTCTCCTGGAAAGCATCCAGCTTCTCCAGCAGCTGACAAATCACCAAACACACCTCAGAGATCTCCCACGCAAAACTCTTATTGACATCACCTCTGAGGTACAGGCACAGCACATGGGTCTGGGGCTTGGTGGGGTGGGAGGAGAGGGCTTGGCTTTGGGGTAAGATTTTCCTTCAGTTTGTCCACAGCTGGAAGTTACAGGGGGTGTGGAAGAGCGAGTGTAAACTGTGGGAGATGTCCCTATATTGCCCGTGGGCGGATGCTTGTATTCTGGAAGGGTGCTCTGGTTTAGCTTAGTTTGACCTCATTGTGGACAATCCCACAGTCTGTTGCTTCCCATTTCACTTGCTTGGATGATGTGTTAGACCGTCTGCTCTTTTGAACAGATGTATGCTGAAAACTGAACAGAATACCACCTTTGTGCACCAAACCTGGGCCTAAGGCTGAATTTTGTGCTGTTGGGAATGAAATGATGTAGGGACAAGGAGTAAAGAGCTCTGAGTATGCAGTAAAATAAGAGTTTATTATTTTTTTTTTGAGTGGATATTATTTGTAGACATGAAGACTAGCAGTGTTAAATAAAAATAGAGTTTCCTT